CTCAGTTCTCACAGTAACTCTCCTGGTTGGAGGTTCATGCCTGCAGCTTTCCTGTGCTGGACATGCACGCTGAGATGGCCCATCCCCATGACTTCCTTAGGCATTTCCCTAGTATGGGGCTCTCTACACTGATTCTGGCCCTGCAACAAGTCTCTGCCAGGGCTCCCAGGCTGTCCATGACATCTTTTGAAATCTAAGTGGCGGTTGCCATGGCCCTACAGATTTTGCATTCTGTACATGTGCAGAGTTAGCACAATGTGAAGGCCACCAAGGCTTGGCACTTGTGCCTCTGGAGCAGCAGCCCAAGCCACACCCAAGCCCACTGGAACCATGGTTAGGTCAGCCAAGGAGCGCTGCCCCAGAATGTGGGGAGCAGGGTCACCGGCAGGCCTGGGCAGCAAATGCTGAGGTCCTGGGGCCACCTCCCTGGAATCCTTACCCTCAAGACCCTGCTCTGCCCCTGACATATGAAGGGCAGCTCCAGGATCTCCAAAAGGCCTTTGGGATCGTCCTCCCACATTTTTTTTTTTCAAAGACCAGCACCTGGCTCCCTTCTCTCCCTACTAATCTCTTCAGCAAATGGTTGCGAGGCCCCACCCTTGGATCGCTCTCCTAAACATGCCTTTCACTCCTTACATGGCCAGGCTGCAGATTTTCCAAACCTTTCCATTCTTGCTTTCCTTTTAATTATAAATTCCTTCTTTAAATAATTTCTCTCCCCTCACATCTTTCTATCTGCAGTTAAAAGTAACTGTGCAGCTCCTTCGGAATTTTGCTTAGCAGGGTCTTCCACCAGATAGCCTAGTTTACCACTCGTAAATTCCGCCTTCTATAAAGCCCTAGGGCAGAGACACCAGTCAGCCAAGTTCTTTGCCACTTTATAATAAGAGTGGCCTTTCCTCTAGTTTCCAATACCCTGTTCCTCGTTCTGTCAGAGACCTCATCAGAATTGCCCTTACTGTGTATTTCTACCAACATTCCTGTCACAACCACTAAGTAATCTCTAAGAAGTTCCAGACTTTCCCTGCGTCTTCTTTTCTACTGAGCCTTATGCTTCGTGTCCCATTCGCAGTCATAGAGGCTTTTTCCAGTATTCACTTCAAAACTTTTCCAGCCTCTACCCATTACCCATTACCCAAACTTGTTCTAAAACCGCATTTTGAGGTATTTGTTACAGCAATAGCTATAGTTTTGTGTTACTGAAACAGAAGGCACAGACTGAGTAATTTATAAAGAAAAGAGACTTATTTCTTACAGTTCTTCTGGTGGCTGAGAAGTCCAAGGTCGGGGGGCCCACATCTGGCAAGCCCTTCTTGCTACGTCATCCCAAAGCAGAAGGCGAAAGGGCAAGAAAGCATGTACCAGCTCAGGGCCTGTAGCTCGGTGGCTAGGGCGCCAGCCACATACACCAGGGCTGGTGGGTTCAAACCCAGCCCGGGCCTGCCAAACAACAATGACAACTACAACCAAAAAATAGCCAG